GAAGCAAGTCCATATGCAGAGCAAAGGGGTTGAGCATCCCTGGTTTAAGTTATCTTAACTCTTAATTATTAAATTAACTCCATGTAAAGACCTTTATATCATTGTATCTAAATAATAAAGTACAATCCTAATAAGAATTGCTTTTACAGCCCATAACTTCCTATCATTATCTATGTAACTTACATACATGATTTTAAGTTGGTGAAGTAATTTTTTAAAATATATTATAAATCTCCTGCATGAGATTACATAAGTTAATGAGGTATTCAACATTTCTGTTAAAAATTAGTTTTTCGGTTTTTAGCCATTAAATCAGTCAGAAAAATCAATATTTTTTACCATAGCACAGCCAATAATGGTCCAAATGTGGAATGTCATATCTCGTAGGGCTCGTAATTTGATTGCTATGATTCCCAATTGGTTTGCATTCAAATCTGGGAAACTTAAATTTTTCGCATTTTTCGCAAATTTTGATGATGATACCCCTTATCAAAAATGAAAAATTTTGTCGAAAATTAATTTCTCTAAATCGGAAAACGAGTGATAGGGGTAGTAAGTTCTGGTCGTTAGCAGCACAAAACAGTCGTTCTTTTGGCTCTGCGTCTTGTTTTGACCGAGATAGAGCTAAAAAACGCATATAATAATCAAATTTTCTGTTAAAAAATAGTTTTTCGGTTTTTAGCCATTAAATCAGCACTCGCACTAACAAAATCAGAACAAGAGTGTTACAAGTAAGTAAAGGTGTTTTAAGTGCTGGTAGTCAGCTGCATAAAACAGTCATTGTGCGATTTCTTTTAACAAAGTTACAGCTAAGAAACTGCAAAAAATCACGGTTCTCTGTTATCAAAAGACGCGTACTTGATTTTGGGTCAGAAAAAACCATTTTCTTACCATAGCACAGCCAATAATGGTCCAAATGCGAAATTTTGTCGAAAACATCTAACAGTGACCATCTGGGTCGCCTAAAAAAATTTAAATATTATATAACAACAAGGAAAACCACAACTAGCTTTCCAGACCATATGCCTTCCCCTTAAATACCAAAACTAAACTATATTCCCAACAATTTATTTTATTTCCACTTAACTTCAATTTTGTTACAATTTCATTTTATTTTCCTTTGTTTTTTCCCAAATTAACGTCAAAAGCTCACAGCAGCACGCCTATTACGAGCCACCATTATGACATAATTAAAGGCATGTATTCCCATTACCAAATTGTTTGTTTAGCTCATTCGATGTTTCTTTAATGGCTCATTGCCAAAAATGTATAAAAAACTTTCTTTTATATTCGTCGCTGCATGAAAAGCAATTATCGTGGCAGTATATTTATATTATTGATAGACATGTCAAGTATGCCCATCATCGTGATGATAATCAACATCAGCAGCAGCCTCACCATCATCATCGTGATTACCATCTTTCGTGACGCGCCGGAATCTTCGATTTCAATTTCAAGTATGCGGGGATTGATTTGATTTTGATTTGGAAATTTCGTTTTGGAATTTCGATTTCGTTGCACGTGCGAGCGATTAATTTTATATGTGTTTTTTATAGGCCTCCTTTTTTTTTGTATTTTTTGGGTGGTGTTGTAATCCTCCTCTCAGAAATATCCTGCGGTGCCTGCTGATTTTATCTCTCTCCTCTCCCTTTATGAACTTTTCCTTGCGCTTCATTTGCACCTTTTTTCCCATCATTGCGGTTTTTTGACATTCAATATATGCCGCGCCTGCATTTGTCACCCGTGGAGAGTCCAAAAGGTAGAGGTTGGAGTTGGGGAACGATTGTCTGTTGCGGGAAATTAAATACCCGATAATTGTCAGTCGATTGCGGTTGGAATTGGTAAGCATTAAGTTTACAGTCGATAAAGAATTCCCTCTTAGAAGTACTAAGAACTGGCACAAGCAAGAGGTTAAGGAAATATATAACTTTTTGTTCGCCAAACCGTTTTCCAAATATTCGAATCTAAGCTAACTTTGGGCAGTTACATATTTTGTATAATCCTAATGGGTTTTGAATGATATCATAAGCTTAGAATTAAGTTTTATACAGATCTAAGAAGATCTACCAAGGATTTAATAATAGCTTATGGTTTCTGAAACTATACAATTTTTTTTTAATTTGGTATTGCAACTTAAAGTTCCTAAATAAAGATATTCCAGCAACATGAATACCTACTATATAACCACTAGATCCGTTTAGAGGTTCACCCAGCCACTCCTCCCATTCATATCATCCACATACATATAGTATTAACCCCTTTGCGACCACCACCCCGAAATGTTGGTATTTTCTCACCCGCGTTTGGCGTGCAAATCCCGACAATTATGCGGGTTTTAAAATGATTGCTAACCCAAAGCTCCTGCCCAGGGCCCCGGGCTATTTGAGTAACTCTCCGGCATCTGGATGCTGTCTATATTAAATGGAATTGCCATGTACATTACAATTTTCACGGCCGAGCAGAGCGGACACACCTCGTCCACATTCGTGGAGAGAGAGAGAGATCGCCTCCGGGGGCAACTGTATCCGTGGTCCATAAATGCAATCAACCACTTCAGCGTCCAAGAACAAAAACAGACTAGCAAATGGAGCTGGTAGGAGGTTCATAGGTAGGTAGGTAGGAGGAGTGGCTCGTGTGGTGTCTGTACATTTGCAACAGATTTTTTCAAGTGCAGGCGACCACTTCAACTCTCGACAACCCTGCCCGTCCCCGTTCTACCACCACCACCCATTATTTTTAACCCTTTGCTGGTAATTTATGCAAATTAAAGCGCACTCCATTTCGCGCCATCACATATAGAATGAGAAAAAACAAGAGGAAACGCTATAGTCGAGTGCCGCGACTATAAGATACCCGTTACTGTTTTACACAATTTTAAAATATTAATTTTGCTAGTGGAAATTCACAAGGCGCCACCTATTGTCAGAGGAAGTATGTTGAGTATGCTTATAGTGACGTCACTGCCCATGTGGAGCCTTATAACCTTAATTTCTTCATAAATAGCGAAATAATGTTCCGATTTGAAAAATCTTTTGTAAATCGATAGATATTAACAGAAATAAGTTACACAAGATCAAACGAAGGCATTCATAATAATATTATAGACTCCACAGTTTTCCGCGGTTTGTGGGCGTTAGAGTGGGCGTGGCCGGATGCAACTTCGTGCCAAGTTGCAGAGGCATCACCCAAATACGTGTTCCTAAGCAAAATTGTGTAGCTCTTATAGTTTTCGAGATTTTTGCATTTTTGGTTTTCGGGTTTTGTGGGCGTTAGAGTGGGCGTGGCGTGATCGGAAAAAAACAATTCGCATTGGGAGCATCGTAGAAACATACGTGCTTAATCCAAACTTTCTATCGCTTATAGTTACCGAGATATCAGCTTTTCTAGAAAATCCGAAAACCGTCTTTTGAGCCTTGTGGGCGTATGGGTGGGTGTGGCCGGATAGTAGTACTACTATAAGATGCGCTGTCATCTAAAGATTATACTTTCTGAATTTCAACTTTCTAACTGCAATAGTTCCTGAGATTTCAGCAATTTTAGTTTTTTGCGATTTGTGGGCGTTAGAGTGGGCGTGGCAGGATGCTGTAATAAACTTGCGCTGTCCCGGGACCTCAAGAATCTTCATGCTTAATCTCAACCTTGTATCTGCTATAGTTCCTGAGATCTCAGCGTTCATACGGACGGACGGACGGACGGACGGACGGACGGACGGACGGACGGACGGACGGACGGACGGACAGACGGACATGGCTCAATCGACTTCGCTATTGATCCTGATCAAGAATATATATACTTTATAGGGTCGCAAAAGCTTCCTTCTATCTGTTACATACTTTTCAACGAATCTAGTATACCCTTTTACTCTACGAGTAACGGGTATAAAAAGAGAAAACAAAAATACATCGGACAAAAAAACATAAATTCTATACTTTGATTTGTTGTTTGTTTGCTGTTGTTGTCCGCTGGGCGCAGGCGCAGCTACAACAATTGTTAATTGTTTCGCTTTAGTCGTTATTTCGGAAAGGAAACGGAAATATTGAGAACTCCAGACAGGGGGAGGAAGGGTGGAACGAGAGCCAGGAACTCATAGCCATATAAATTGCCGTTAATTGACGGGTCTCTTTACATAAATGCGATAACTGTACTAAAAATGGCAGAGTTCTAATGTAATATTTACAAAATCATAGAAAAAAAGAAAAAGACATCCTTATCTAATACACAAAATCAATGAAAAAGAAACATTTCAACAACATTTTATGTTCAAATTCGTCTTACGGCAGAGCATCTACTAACACAAATAAAAGAAAACTTGAACATAGGCGGAGGGGCATTTGTGTTGGTATGTAGCTGTGCACTGAGAGAAAGAAAACACTTCTTTTTGCTAACCAATTCATCACTCATTTCAACACTCATGTCGATGCTCCACTGCGAAACAGAAGTTATAAGGAATTATTTCCAGTGCAAGTTTTGGGGACGACAGAAGAACAGTTAGCAACGGACTGGGGCGGAAAGAGGAAAACGAAAAATTGCCAGTGTGTAATAGCACGGAGTTCGAGGATGATCGAAGAAGGAACAAGCAAAAAATATTTTACAGTTGGCGACGGAATGAGGCGGAAAGGGAGAAAAACAAATGAGCACTCAGAACAACAACAACTAGGGACTACCTCCAATTTGTAACATTGTTTTCGAAAACCCCAATATACCCTTTTACTTTTCGTTTAATGGGTATTACTGAGTTGCTTTTGGCATATGATAATATTTATTAAAATTACAAAACCACTGCCGTGGGGTCTCGGAAAGTAGCCGCATTACAGCACACTGTATAACCTGCTTCCCTTGCAAGACTAAAAGTGAGTCCTGAAGGACAATTAATTTTAGTGCAAAAACGATAATCGCTCCTGCTTGGTATTTCATATCTATTGTTGTAGGTCAGGAAGACCAAGCTCTGAGTCCCACTTCCGTCCGACTTCGTTTTGGTTATTTTCTTGTATAACCATGCGGGCACTGGATTCTTGGCGCCTTCGATAAGATAGGCTAACTTGTCAACGCGACCTCGTTTTAGTTTCAGAACTCCAAAAGCTCCAGTTCTAACAATTAATCCATGATCATCCACCGGGAGACTTTGCACCCACCTCTCGATTATGTTCCAATTTCCTGAATTAATGCTAGCGAACTGGGGCACCACGTTAACCAGCTTATACGTTGAGCTTAGTTGATCTTCGAAGAGAAAGTCTGAGGAGGCGGTCAGGTGTCCACGATTAATAACCTCAGCTCCATTGGCTATATAGTTTTGCCGTTCCCCATAGATTTTCTTAAATCTATCATAAATTTCGCCCTTGAAAAACGAGTTGGCATGCAAGGGCGACATTACTGGAGATGGAGAGAACAACTTATCCAGCGGACGTGGAAGATCTATTAAAATGATATATTTGATTAAATTGCTATTTAAATTGTTTTCTTTCACCACTCACTTATATTCTTTGGGTATATCCTGGCCTGTGAGAAACGGGCTCTTAAAGTCGTTCTATCATAGCACACGTCATACAAAGTGAGGAATCTGCCATTGATCGAATGCCCAACTGAATACATAGTTTCCTTACAATCAGCATAAGCGGCTTTATCGCCTTTATATAGCTCAACTGTGCCTTCAGGAGGTTTTGTTGTGCAACGAAGGGGCATCGGAGGATCGAAATAATTTCGTTTACCATTGCTTTTGCAGGTTGTTGAATGAATTTCCCCGTCACCACAATGCATAGTTAGGGTTACATCCTGTTTTACCACCGATGATAGTTGTAGTTGAAGATTACCCTCTCCATCCTGATAGGTGAAAATCCCATTGGAGCCAGAAACGCCTCTGAACGAGAATTGGCAATGTCCTCTTACTTGGCTCGCTGTTTGTATAATAAATTATTAATTTGTACTTTCATTAGTAATTTATATTTACCAAGAAGTGTGACCACAAAAAGTAGATAGACTTTCCCCATTGTCCTTTCCTTTAGCACTGAGCAATCTGGCTTGCTTAAGGCTTAATTTATACTCCAACGCTGTGGTTTATTTCTGTTAGGGCAACTCGACGAACGAACACCCTTTAAGCGATTGTTCTTATAAGTGTATTATATTATTTAATCTAGAGTATAAAGATTTGCATGTTACTGCATATGATTATATGACGTTTTTCGGCTTATCGCAGTATGATTCTTATCAAAAAGATTATTGAAAAACAGCTTGCTTGCAATTTAATATGTATGTACGGGTATATAGTCGTATAATGACATAGGTGTTCGAGGAAAATTGGCTGACTGTGATAGACAGTTAATATTAGTTACTATAAAAAGATTTTAATTCAAGCAAAATGACTTACTCAACTTCTTCAGAATCTGCTTGTTCAATCAAAATTTTCATATTACTAAGATCAAGATACGCAAAGACCGCTTTACATGCTTTTCTGTAAAACTTTGCTCTTATTAAACTGTTAAACTAAAATATTTGTTTCATAAAAGTATCAAAAATCTATTCAATGTCCCTAGTAAGGCTTAAGATTTGCCTTCTGAAAGCATTTTAAAAATATTGATAAAATCTGAATTCATTTCAAATCAAAACGCTCACAAATAAACAGTTCTTTGATATCCTTTAAAACCATCTTAAATCCTTCTTGTCTAACTGTCGAAATATGAAAACAAAAGCCAGCACATGAGCATCAAATATGTTTTCTTATCTCGCCAGGATCTCCCAACTTTCTGCCTGAAAATATTATTTTTTTGATTGTTGTCAAAATACAGGACTAGAGATGGAGATTGGCCTGGACCCTGACCACCTTTCCCTGCAGATCGTGATTTCTGTTGATTTCGCATCGCCGATACTGCAGCTCGACCACTTCAAAAGTGTTTATCCCAAAGGTCCTGGGTCAAAATGTTTCAATTCTGAGCGGAGATTTTAACGCGGATGCTGTTGGTCCCGAAAAATCAACCCTCGGCATCCAGCATCTAAATCTGCATGTTTGTTGTTTTTTAAAACGTTTTTAATACGGAAAATGTCACAAAAAATATCACGAGCAGTCGGCTGATGTGAAACGGGTTCGAATTTGAATGACAATCGAGGCAGGAAGGGCGGTAGAAGGGAGGGAGTAGGGAAAGGATCTCTTGATGATGACGCTGATGATGAGTCTGTGCCCGAGTTTTTGATGAGCTTGTAATGCCCTCGATGAGCTTGGCTGTTGCAGCTGCCCGACGTTTGGAATTGTTTTGTCTGACTGAGGTTTGTAGATCGCGACGCGATCTGCCAACTCCATGGGGCGTGTCCGCTGCTGCTCTTTTTTTTTTTTTTTTTTTTTTTTTTTTGTTTTCTGATAAGCTGACGTTTTCTAGTTGCAATTATGCATGCCACATTTAACAATTTTCCAAGCGCCTTTTCATACCGCCCAGCAGGTCATCACGAGCTGAAGATTAAGCTGTCATTTGTGGCGGTCTTTGATCTATTGTTAGAAACTCGTTTTGGATTGAGTTTAGATAATATATATAATATGTAGAAATGAACTTAACTTCAGGCAACATCTAAAATGACAAGCCAATCGAAAAAGTAAGTAATTTTCCTTGCTGAAAAACACAACTTTATCATATTCATTCATAAACTTATTATTAATTTCTGTTCTTAGATAACCACTAACTATATTAAATTCTTAAATAAAGTACTTGCTAGCTTCTTTTCCCTTGAAGTCTGTAAGTCACTCCTGACTGCAGATTAAATTGTCATCCGTGACTTAAATCAATTGTTGACATTTTCTTCCTGGACTGGCGAGACTTGGTCCTTCCACTGGCCTTTGTCCCTGCTCAATTGCCGCCTTTAAATGCTTTGTTGTCGAGTACTCAAGAGCTTTGTGTCCTTTTTTAATTCCTTTTCCCCGCCATGGCTTTGCTTTTATCTTAATTACAAAAAATGTCAGGAATAAAGGGAGTAATTTGCAATGCGGAAATGCGACAGTTGCGCTGCCTATGAAGTTCATACGCTTCTAGGACATCCTGTAGTCCTTCTTATACACAGTTACTATTGGGGTTAAGGAAGTAGAAGTAGCTGTAGGAGATTTCTTTAATGATAACTAATAGTAATCTAAGAAAACAAGAACTTAGGTTAACTTATAAAAGAATGAAATTTTAAACTTTAAAATATGATATCTTGTAGGAAATCCTTTACTTATAACCCCAAAAGATATCCCCTAACATTTTGTCCATGACTGTACATAGCTAGCCACACACCTTTTGGCTGCTCTCCTTTTAATCGTTAAATGCAATTGCAGCGGCTTTGCTGGCGTACGGTTGCCAGGTGAAGTGTCGTGAAGGAATGAAAAGGATACTTCCTCCTTTCCACCTAGGCTATGTCCTCCTCCTGTCACTTGACTATTTTATGCTGGGGATTCCACTCATGCTGGGTGTTAACTACCAGAATCCCGTAAAGGAACAGTGGGGGGTATATTGCTAATCCTTTTTAATTTGGAAATGAAAAATCAAAGGTAATAGTTGTGAAGGAGAACCTTAGACTAAGCGCAGTAACTATGTTTAAAGATTAGACTTAACTTAAAAACTATGCCCACCTTTGATGGTTTTATTCCCAATCTATGAGTATATAGTTATATCTGTCTTAGAACCTTAATTTGTATAACTTAAAGCTAACTTTCTTAATATATATACTAACCCACTGTTCAGTTTTTACCTACTCCCTGACAAAGTTGAGCATTCCCTTTGAAATTTTAATTCTCATCGCCCGCGACGATGAGTTCATGGCTCCGGTTGTCTCTGCTCTGCCAGCTGCCAAGTGTAATTACACTAAACTGCAAACAAAATGATAATTATTATGGCATGTCCTTGCTTCACTAAGGGTTAAGCATTCTCATTTTCCTAAGCCATTGTTTTTGCTTTGTTTCTCAGCTAATTCCTTGCCCAAACAAACAGTGCCACATCAGTATAATCAAAAATAAATACGCAGCCAAGTAAAAACCGAAAACAACAACAATAACGATGAGCAGAAAACTGTTAAATAAACAATGTTGCAATTTCTGTGCAACAAAAGAAAATAGAACACAAATGGTAGGAAATGCGTATGAGAGGGGGCTACTGGAAAAATCGAAAATGCATCAGAAATTCAAATGCCACGTGCCAAGCGAAAACCTTCTCTTTCCCTTACTTCTGGCTATATTAGCACTGAGAGAAAGTTAGGGTAAGTTCTGAAAAAATAATATTTATTAACAATCTTTAAGTTTAGCAAAATGCAAGGCAAAAGTCTTAAAAATCAGTTCTAAAATATTTCTAAAAATAAATTTCACAAAACTAAGAAATCGGAATCCTTTCTAACTTCCACATCCTTTAACAATTTTCTTCAAGTGCTGTTATATATATTTACTAACAACCGCTCTATTTGCCATGTCCTGGGTGAGAATTTGCCATGTGAAAGGGGGGAGGGAAGGTTAGTTCCAGTATTCGTCCTGATTCTGGTTCTGAGTCTCTGTTTACCCGCCTCCGGCTGCCTTGAGTTGTTCTTGCGTGTTGCTTTCTGGTTAAGTGAACTGTTTTCTCTTTGTGTTTTCACGGGGGTTGAGGTGGGGCTGGTAACAGGGGGTGAAGAAAGTTGCTAGCGGGATAGTTGGTTGGTCTTACGGGGGGTGCAATGTAGCTGCATACTTTGCGGCGCAGTTTCAATTAAAGTTTCCGTAACTGCTTCCCAGACGGAAGTTCTTGCCGTAATCCGCTATCTAAGCTGATTGGAAAATCGCAAATACCGCGAATTCCGATCGATGTTATGGATTCGTTAGATATCTTAGACTTAAAGATATGCTTTGTTTTGTTAGTAGAGTAATGGGAAAAGAGATTAAAACATGAATTTTGTAAGATTTCTTTCCTTTCCCTTAGATTTAATCCCTTAAACTGATTAATTGCCTTTCCATTCTAACTAATATTATTATAAAAGCCTCTTTCATCTTCAACTTTCTCTCAATACTCTTTAGAAAGCTTTTACATAAAAGCCTAAATAAATCTGTATTGACTTTTCGCAATGCACTTGCCATTTTGCATCCCAGCTTATCTAAGCTCATGGAAATTTCCTGTGGTACAGTCTCCTCTGCATTCATGACCTTTATCTGTGCTTGATTGGCTGCATTTCAACACCTGGTATAAACTCATTCCTGTATTTTGGTATACCAAATCCCTATATAACGTCCATCGATTGCTCTCAATGCATCTGGAGGCTTTTGTCTCAGCCTAATCGACAGTTACGAGTGGGTGGTAGAGGCGTGGGTTTGGTTCTTGTTTGCCCAACTGAGTGTCATGTTTAGCATATTGCCACAGAGATTGTCCAACAAATTGCATCACGGCTGGGAATTAA